CAATGAGGTCAAAGGTTACGCCAAGTTGCTAACTGCTTTTGGCTCGCTGTTTGATGGAAGAGCGAAGGCGGTGTATTTGCTTACACGGAAGGCCAATCCCGGCTTTTCTTTCGATGAGATGAGGGCGGCATTGTGTGCAACATTTGGGAAGGAAGACGATAGAGAGCGAGTATTGAAGCAATTCCACTCAGCCAGCTTGGAGGAACAGGAGGATTAGACGGGGTTTTTCCAGCAGCTGGACAGACATCTGGCGATTTGGCTTCCTCAGTTGCAGAGTGATTCAATAGAAAGGCTACTTGAAGAGCACTTGGTGCGAAGCATGTCGGACCCTCTCCATGACAAGGCAAAATGGGCAGCGATGGTTGGAGAGAGCAGGGGGAGGATCTGGTGACGGTTGCCTAGGATTTTCCGGAGCGAGAGACAATGAGCAGTGTCCAGCATTCGGAATTGGAACACAGAGTAAACCAACTGTCCGAAATGGTGGAGAAGTTGTTATCGAGAGATACTCCGAAAGCGATTTCACAACGCAATGAACATAGAAGCCGGAACAGTCGCCGCTGTTTCCGATACGATCAGGAAGCGCCTATGGCTAGATCTTGCACCAACTACAATTTATACCATAGTTTCTCTCAATTCTGGCCTAGGAGATGGCGGACACCAGTCGTCTGGGAAGGGTGACTCTCCGGGCCATATCGGACACAGGGAGCGGGAGTGTCCATTACGAAGAGGTTCGAAGGTGTTCTAGTAACCCAGTCCTCAATCGTGATGTTGGCAGTCGGTGAACGTCACTGGACGGTGATAGGCATATAGCGGTTGCGAATCAGGATAGGAGCAACCCTCATCAGCCATGCTATGTTTATCGTAGAGGAGCCAACCGAAAAAATCATCGACTACGACGGCCTAAGACGGCTTGGTGCCACAATCGATCTGAGAAACTACGTGGTTATCGTAAGCAACGAGATGATTGACATGAACACTAGGTGAACCGAGCGAGTAGGCGTGATCAAGTTCCTGTCTGAGTGCCAGAGCCATGAAATACAGAGTGTAATGAGCAAGTATCCTCACCTATTCAAGGACGCAGATGACGATTGCGGAATCTGGAGCTGGGTGGAACATCGAATAACATTAATCCCTGGAGGGCAGTGGAAGCCGATCTTCAGAAGAATACCGTAGCATGCGCTAACGTTGTTACAGTAACAAGTAGCGGAAATGGAAGCAAAAGAATCATCAGACGAACGCACAGTCCGTATTCATCACCCGTGCTACTTATGAAAAAGTCGGACGGTACCTATGGATTTTGCGTTAATTTCAGAGAACTGAACAGGGTGACAGTGAAGGAAGCAAGTTTCTCTAGTCTACTCAGCGCCAAACAGAAATCTTTGGTAGATTTACGATCGGTTTATTGGCTGCTACCCATCGCAGAGGAAGATAGCCACAAGACGGATTTCAGTGTGAGTGGCCAGCAGTACGATAGTCTAAGAACGCCCTTTGGATTATGCAGCGTCCAAGCTACATTCCGACGACTGTTGGTGATGGTCCTGGAGAACTTAAAAGGCGTGTTTGTCTATGGTGATGACATCATCGTCTTCTCCAAGACTGAACAGGAACATAGTATCAGGCTTGCAGCAGCATTACAAAGACTAGAAGTGGCTGGTTAGCAACGCAGTCGCAAGAAGTCGCAGGTTGCTCGGAAGTCGATTGTATGTCTGGGCCACATTGTGGGCAATGGTCCAATCCATCCGCTTTCGGAGAAACACGAGACGATCAAGGGCTTCGCGGTGCCAATATCCAAGCGTCAGCTCCGTTCCTTCCTGGGTGTGGTGGCTTATGACGTGAAGTTGGTGCCCATTTTGCAGGGAGGATCAGCCCGTTGTCAAGGCTGCTTCACAAAGACGAACTGTTCGTATGGACATCCAAAATGGATCAAGCCTTTAACCACCTAAAGGCATGCATGGCAGAAGCCGTAACATGCTTACTGCTACCCAATCCTAATGGGAGATTCACTCTGGCAGTCGATGCAAGCAACATGGCAATCGGAGCGGTATTTTCCTAACGTACTGGCGTGGCGGAATATGCTAGTAGGGTACTGACAGTGGCGGGGCAGAAGTATTCCACGACGAAGAAGGGATGTCCGTCCATCGTGTGGACCTTCCATAAGTGGAGAACTTAACTTCTAGCGACTGAATTCCGGGTCGTCATTGCTCACCGGCCGCTTTCATGGTTGATGACAGCGAAAGACCGCCGGGGACGCCTTGCGCGGTGGGCATACCGACTGGAAGAATTTAAATTCACCATCGAGCATGTAGACGGACCGCAAAACTTGCCACCCGATATGTTGTCATGCCTGTTGTTGGAGCACCTCCTGTCGGACAACGCCATACCGGTGCGTACGGTCGCAGTGGAAGATAAGAATCTGATGGGAGATCAAAAGACAGCTGAATTCGTGAAGGTACTCTGCTATCATTTACAGACTGGCACCAAGCCGGAGGCCACATCAAGAGAGGTGGCGGAACTCCTTAGGATATGGGACAGACTAGAGGTCGAAACCGATAACGTGGTGGTTGCGACAGCCGAGAGAAAACTAGCTTTTGTTTCGCCAAAGCTGCGCGACAAGCTAATGCGCATAACTCATGATGGCGCCCATATGGAATTCGAAAGAGTCTTTGAATTACTACGGAGGGGAATTTTTTGGCCAACCATGAGGAAGCACGTCACGGTATACATGTGGCGATGCCAAAATTGCCAAACGAGTCGCGAGATGAATGCACCAAGACCACCGACGCGCTCGATGGAAGTCAATGAGCCATTTCAACGTTGGGACTGGATGTGTTTGGGCCGTTACCAGTGAGTCGATCAGGAAAAATTTACGTTCTAGTGATGATCGAACAGTTCACTCGCTGGGTGGAAGCTATGCCAATCAAAGATCACGCAGGCGAGACAAAGTCGCAGGCGTTCGAATTCAATGTGCCAGCAAGGTATGGCATACCACAATGTGTCATCACAGACTAAAGGCTCTGCTTCGAGTCGAAAGTTTTTAAGGCGGTTTTGGACAAGTGGGACATCCAGAGGCGATGCACTTCCCCATACCACTCACAGACCAACGGAATTACAGAACGGTTCAACCGGACCATGAAGACATGGAGAAAATGCACGAAGTTGGCGTGGGAGAAAGCATTGTCTGAACTTCTGCTTGCGTATCGGCGCAGTATGCAGTCGATCACCAAGGTTTCGCCATGCGAATGACAATTTGGCCGAGACCCACGGATTGCCCTTAATGAGCGCTTATCGGAACCGGGTGAGTGGGAACATCCAGCAATGCATCAGAAACGATTGCAAGCAATTGGTAAAAGAGAAAACAAAGCAAGACAAGCACGCAATGAGAGTGACCACGACGCCAGGTATGGAGCTCGCAAGTGGACGCCGATCAGGATTGGTGAACAAGTCAAGGTACGGAACAACGATGGGCCAGAGAATGAAGGGCCAGATGCCAGCAAGTTCTAGGCATGATAGGACGAGTGTAGGCTGCTTAACCTGCACTATACACACGGTTTGCGTAGAGAAAAGAAAACGTCATCAGCAGTACGCCGGAGCACTGTACCAACGCTCTGCTTCTACGCGACCACCACCAGTCACGCGTTGGCTGAGTATATTGCAAAGACGCCCAACCCTACGCGGACTCGAACCGGTAACATTATGATTGCAATCCAGGCGCGCATACCACTCGGCCACCGGCCGTCATCGGAAGGACTACTCTCTGGTCATACTATTAATTCTGCCTAGCCAAGCGTTTACGAAAATTACCTATAATCAGTTTCCCTACTGGTGATCATGTTAACTGCTTAAAGTAGCTAGGTGAGGTAGATCGGCGGAATAGCTGCAAATATAAATCGCCTCAGGAATGCGACAAAATGCTATTATTCAGTAATTCTTTCGGGCCCAGTCGTTACGATGGCCTTGCAAAGAGGCTTTAAGGGCATTGTATGAAAGATGTTCATATGGATGCATCGAAATACAAGGCAGAATTCCAACCACCCATTATTTTTAATTAAGCCATAAGCAGAACTACTACGAATGAAGGAGAAAAGGCTGCAAAAGTACATCGGTATTCCATACCGATGCTTCGCTGCAACACAGCTGCTACCATTCGTGCCTGCTAGGTATGATTCCTGGCTGACCGCGCCCATACAGATTCGAGCCGGCGGCGTTTGAATTACAAGTCACACGTCTAATCCTTTCAGCCACCGACCGTATGGAAAACGCGGAAATCACGAGGCAAAAATCGATGAAACACAAAAGAAAATGTAAGTCGCTAAGGTGGCACTTGTGCAGTAGGAACGTCGACGTTAGATTAAGACCATAATTGAACTTTAGCGAAACTATCTATTACTATTTTGATACAGAAAAACAAAAAACAGTTCAAAAAATTTGGTTCACTTGATGCAAAAATATCTTGTGCTGTTTTTTGCCTCTTATAACTGCGTGATCCAAATCTGATCACCACTTCCCCATTTTTGTGCTTCTGGCCTTCATGAGTTGAATCACGGCTTGGATTATGTTCTTGGTCCGTACGTATTGTCACAAAACGCCCATAGCTTAAATTCTTAATCAGTTACATCAACATAGCTCAGCTAGGTTATTGCTTACTTGGCTCCAAACTGTCACAGGTTTCTAAATGCCTCGACGAGCAGCCAGCTGCGAAGGTTTGCTTAATTATCCATGGTGATCATAATATATTTCGTATTCGGAAAGCTGCATGATGCAACTTTGTGTAAATCTTCATACTCACGTAGATCAGAAGTGTACACACTAATCAGCAGTTATATGGATAACCGAAAAACGGACAGAACTTTGTGAGAAGTAAGCGCATTCCACCCACACCATCGAGTTGCCATAGTATGTTCACTACCGTATTATGTTCATTTACTACTCATTAATCTTTAAGTACGTAGCGTATATAGAAAACAGTTTGTCACTTCGTTGTCCTTCACTCTTGTTTTCAGCTGAATACATGTCTGGAAGTATGGAAGATCTCAAAAGTGAAACATCCGCCCGCTCCCGTTGTCGTATTGGCAATCGATGGACCTCAGTAACCGATCTACGCGGGCGGAGTTACGCCATCAAAATAACAGAAAATGCAACTCAGACTAATTTTGTTCCATCTAGTTGGCACGACCTCACCATATGCGGAGTGTCTGTAAAGAACACAAGTTCATCCCTGCGCAGTAGGCGGGACAGTACACCAATCAGCGAACCCTGCCTTGTCCAATCACAGGGAGCTTATTTTGTACCAGCCCAGCGAGTGCGAACTAGTTCAGCCAACGTGTCCAATACAGCGTCTCCGTTGAAGTGCTATTATTCGGACTGGAGTCCTAACTTTGTGGCAACCTCACCGGAATTACTTAGTCCAAGTATTTATAGTGGGCTCTCAGTATCCGCAGGTGCACTAAATACAGACGTCAGTCCTAGTTTTGGACGACACTTCTCACATACAGCTTATCATGATTCGTTTAGAATTGAAGAGACAGAAGAAACGGACAATGCAGCTTTAACCACCGAAAACACGAGTGCTGCATCTGAACAGGATGAAATGTGTTTACCGAAGCCAAGTTACTTCAAGTCCAAGAAATACAAAACACAACTTACTCGTTCAGAGAGAATTCACAAACCAAGTACAAAGATAAAGCGTGGATTGCACCTCGGAAAGAATCGGAAATCCAAATCGTTGGGAGACTCCCTGGACAAGCCTTCAGTGTTCACACCGATGGTGCAGCGGATACGGTCAAAGGCTTCGGAAGTACTTCGATTGCACCCAAAAGAAGATAAATTTGGGAAAAGATCTAAGAACACATTGGGTGACACGCTGGTATCTTTGGCTAATATGTCCACTGAGATCGTATCCCTATACCCGAGTACGAATCGTGTTGACAACGCACAGGCGATGCGAATGTCTGCTGATTTACAAGATCGTGTTGATCACACTGGATTAAAAGTGAGAGGAGGTATACCACACAGTTTATCCAACGACTCGAAGCCAGTGAATGATGTCGATGTCGCCGTCCACGATGCGAGGCTCCACTTACTAAACACCATCCCTTGGGTTGAACATAGTATTTCAGAAGAACATGTAAGGTTATCAGATCGCTCCGAAGAGGTAACTACATTAATAAATGTAAAAAATACCCGTTCTCATGCATTGCCAAAGCGGATGCTAGCAACTGTTCAGTCGTGCCCAGTAGTAGAACATGCGACGGAGAAACCTCTAGCTCCCGATTACCCAATGACTTCCATTGCTAGCACAGCGCCAGAATGCGAACCAGCATCAAACCTATTCATCTCTGGCGATGCCGTTCATACTGGGTCAGCTCCTTCGTATGTCGATCTCCCAGACATGCAGTCGCAACTCCATCATATGGATAATGCATTACTTGAAGTTGAAAGATCCATGAGTTTAGAGGCAAAGTCAACTGACATCATTACTGACAGCGAAAAGACGAGAAAAAATTGGCACAGTGGTGGAACGGACAGCTCTGAATGCTTAACTGTTAAAGAAAACTACGGGGATCTGCGCACAAGAACACAAACTTCTGCCGATGCAGTACTTGCAACAGGCATTCGGCATTTAGGGTCCACCGCTTTGACATCAGATCCCCCTGAACGTAGTGGTAATGTGGATGAAAAGCCCACAGTGGAAGGAATAGGTGCAGAAGGTGCAACAGCTAACTCCTTAATCCATTCTACTGCCCTGATGACCACGGGCCAAACGGCCGCTTGTACTGATCCGACAGACTCGGTCCTTGTTTCAGAGACAATTCCAGTTCCTTTAATACGTAAGCCGGTATATGGAAGTATTCCGTTCCGAGAACAGTGCGGATTAGTTTCATCCAGTATCCAGCCGTCTAAACTCACCACCGAGACAACAGAAGCACCAACATTAGCTGTTGTGCTTGATGAGCCACATCTGAACTCAGATGACCACAATTGTTTACAACCTGACTCTATGCAACTAATGGAGACAAGTACTTCTCTCACTGAGCAGATGAGTGCGATCGATGATATCAAGAAGGAGTTGAGAAAAGAAGATGTTATGAACAGCGATGGCCATTCGAGCCAGCAGTTTGATACTAACCTAGAAGATAACTCAGCAATGTGTCAGGAATCGACGCACAATATGACAAGGGAACAAAGCAAAGCTTCTGAACACGAAAGCGGTGTTCAGCGCCATGTCGCAGATGGACAGCAAGAACTATTGAACCCGTCGCTGAAAAGGGATGAAAATGGGAGGGACTCCGCAGGAGCGAACCTTGTTATGCCAAGTAGTATAGCTCTTTCCATTTTTACTCCAAGCTTAGTTATCGAAGAAAGCCCGATAACATCCAGTCAGCCGACCGCAACTACTGAAGATAATCCTCACCTCCAACTGATGAATAATATGACAGCTTTCAACGGAAATAATCATGTGCCCGGTTCGACAGAATCAGCAGGTGTAAACACCGTTGGTTTTAATACAGATGAGGTACGATCACACTGCGATGAAATTGCTCAGTTGAAAAATGAACCGATAGCTTCTCTACCAATTAACCCTTTGTATTCGGTTGTGCAGACTAAAAAGGACATCGAATTGGAGCCAACTCTGTGCACTCGTTCTGCTCAACCAGAACAAGTAGATACGAATGAGCTAATACCAAATGAGAAGTTAAGCACCAACCTAGTCTCAACCATGGCAGATTTCTCAGATGGCAACTTCGAGTCCAACACCACGGACCCGGTGCATATTCAGCAGCATAGTAAGTCATCAATACTGTCTTCAACACCACCAGACTGCCAGCCGCTATGTGTTGTGCCAATTCGCTTGTCGACCGGCATGATAATAGAGCAAACTCCCAGTCTACAACAGCATAAGGCTGGCTCAATGTCCGCTGCTGTGCAGGCACAGGAAACAAACGACGAGCTGGATGCTGGCGTTTCAGTGACTGACGACTCTAACTATACCGTTATTTGTCAACCTGTTCAGTCCAGAGTGCCAGATAATCAGAGTGTGATCAAAAAGAATAATGACAATCTGTTTCAAAGCGAACTTGTACCCTGTTTAACCAGTGCACGCCCACACGAGAACCAGGGACAATTCCCGGATTCTCAGTTTAGTGCACAAGTAACTGCAAACAACCACTCACCCGGTGAATGTTCATCTACATTGCTAGAGGGGAATAATGAAATAGTTTTCGATGGTGCAGACAATGCTATCACTCCTTCTACCTCTGTCGTAGAAAGCTTAACAGGTACAAAGGAAACCTATGTGGGTCATACCGCACATGCGATCATTTCAAATACAGATTCGGAAAGTATTTGCACAAACGTTTTCGAATTACCCGTGAAAGCAACAAAAATTGGTGGTTCGTCCTGGTTTGAATGGTGGAGTAAAATACTGCCGTTTTCAACCCTTCTCCTCGCTGATGAACTTGATATGCATATTATTGACATGGAAGCCTCGATGATAATGAATGATAATGAAAAGATGGAAAAGGGTTTACATTTGAATACGGTATTGAATGAAATTCGTGATAACAAAAATTCCGTTGATACAACACCAACTCCCAATGTGTCAAAAATCCCCAGTGCTGGGGAAAGTGACGCTTTAGCTCACACCGATTTTTCATGGTATACCTGGCTTTTGGAAAAGTTATCTTCTCGGAGAAGAATCAGTGTGCAATTCCAGAAGACGGTGCAAGATGATTGCCTCTCTGAGGTATGCGATTCGCCTTTTGAGCGCAATACTGTCAAAGGTTTATCAGACTCCAGTGGCCTCGATCAGACTTCCGACGTTAAAGCCGTGTATGACGAAGAATTCATCACTCCAAGCAAACAAGCAGTCGTTAATCGCTTACCAGTTGGGCCGTACGAAGGTTTCGATACAGAGAGTGCAGAACAGAGTAGCAGTGAGCAAATGGCCGGAACAGGTGCATGGGTGGACTCCAAGGTGAGTGTGCAACAGATACTTTTTAAGTGAGGTTTTCTTCATGTTTACGTGGCCTTTCTTTCATAAATATAATATAATTATTAGAAAATTTCTCTTTGACGCCCAGCTTAATATTTGGGTGTGAGCTGTGACCTATGTGCCGCACAGCCGTACTGCGTTTTTCAACAAGGATACTAAAAATAGAGTTAAACAATAGCGTGAGCGACTTCCTACACCTCACAAGATGAGTGGAACTTTGTGAGTGTGTGAAACCTACAAGTTAGTGTCCATTTGGTTATGACTGGTTAGTTCTAAAGCCACGCGAAAAACGGAAGGTGTCTGTTGGCAGATAACCAAAAAGGGAGGCGGAAATATCCGACTGTGCTTAAGTGAAAACTTATGACATAGTTGCAGCTAAACTGATTATCACAGTGGCGTTCGCTGTCCATCTCCACGCACTCAGTCTGAACTGGAATCTGAAGTCTGTAACTAAGGAAATTTTTGGAGGCATATTATCAACATACACCCATGGATAGCTGTCAGGATATGCAGACATTGAAAACGCACCATGCAAAATCACGCAGTAAGAAACGACCAGCTATGAAACCCATAATCACAGTTGGGTAGATCAGCCGTGATAATAATTCCGTAGGTTAAATTAAGATTTCAAAATAACGCCAAAATAACCGGGTCATTAACGGGTGTTGGAAACAAACCAGATTAATGAACAGGTGGTCTCGTTTACTGTGGTTTCTCATACTTTGACTACTGCTCCCAGAATTTTTCGTTCAATTGGTAATCTGGGTACTTGTGTCTGCGTATTTAGCAATGTACTCCGGTAAGCCACCCTAACTCTCACCTTTGGTGACAACGGATATCAAGTAGGAACACCAAATAAAAGCAGTAGTCGTTTTCTTAATCGTACGCTTGCCTCCGCATCCCTAGCCTGGCTACCTTACTGCTCATTAATTTCACGTGCACTGAAATATGTCTGCGAAAATACACCACTACTATTCAGCAAGCAGATGTAAAAGCAGTCTATTAACCGCTATGTTCCATAACGTGCTATGCTTTCCATTCTGGTCAGTGGTTACTCGAAAAACGCTATATACGAATCCAGAGTTGACAGAGAGAAAGCCTGATGATACTCCTTAACATGTGTTGGGTTTAAAGTAAAACGAAGATTATTCCAGAAAGCCAATTGACGTCACGAAGGTGTATCTTTTGTTAGAAAATGCCGAATTTGTTAGCTTGCTCCAGCCGAACTCAAGCATTTATAATGTTTTTTCGAGATTCCGTGGGCAATGAGCAGGAAGTTGTGGACGCACTGGTACATCTGATGACACGGGTCTATTGCGTGACCATTGATTTAATTCATGAGTCTTAAATCTTGACTTGCATCTAGGTCATGCTAGTTAGAAATGACGTGGGGTTTTTCTCGTTTTCATTTCGTACCACATTTGTGCTAAATTCAACAGCTAACTGGTAACATGGCCGAAATCCCACCGTACATTTGAGGTAACCTTTTCCACAGACACGTGCGTATACAGCGCCTTGGAACTCCTGTGTATATGTACCTTGTATAAAACAATGCCGTCCAGCTGCATTTGTCTGCTCAGTAACGCATCCGGTTCATATTTCAAGACTAATAAGCAAAATCATCTGGTAGAAAGGTAGACAAACTAACAAACTAAACTTTATCTGGAAAGCGACTAGCAGAGGTTGCACAGTAATATATGGCATGAAGGTCAGCATCGAGAAACGCGAGATCAAATGTGGATCGTTGCGAAATTCGTGGCGGTGCCGTATCCGATGGAGCTTTTGCTCACTGATGTTGTTTATGGCCTAGTCCCTTTCCAGAAATAAGAAACGCATAAGTTTCAGTACCGTTCGTTAAACTTTCATCTCATTTTACCACGGCTCTGTTTGGCTATAATGGAGCTGCCTCCAGTGAAAACTTTAGCCCGAAAATATCAAGACGAGCTGGTGCAGCGCACCCTTCTCATTTGTCTAATGAACCGATATTGCCTGCTTCAACAGATGGGCACGACTTTGAAAAGCTGCGTGAAATTTTAAATCTACACGTAACTTGACTGGTGCGCTGACGGCCATGGATAATGAAGCTATCTATATCCAAAAGTACTAATTACTTGAAGTTTATAACAACTGGGAACATGTGAGTCAAATCTTGCATCTGGCCTTTACAACTCGCATGTGTGCAGCGCATCACATAGAACGTTATGCAGTGTGGCAATCCACTGAGGAGCGCTTACACAGACTTGGGAAAAACATCAGAATTCTACACATGTAAACTCAAAGTATTTCAGATGATAAACGGGTAAAACTACAATGGTGAAAAGGTAGGTCATTCGTGATATTTAATCACAAAATTGAGGACTACAGATGGTAGCTACAGATGTCGCTTGTTCCTCTTAAGGTTTTAGCTACGGAAGGGAACTTTCCTTGGACTGCGTACTGGAGTTGGATGTTACGGTATAGCCTGCAGCATAAAAGAAAGGTTCGAGGTTATGCCATTAAAGAGGGCGTAGATCTAAAATCAGGAGTAACTAATTGAGACAAACGTAGTCGCCATTTAAGAAAAAACTATGGTATTTATTTAAAGATCTTACACTTCCGAAGTGTTGTGCAGAGTGAATGTAGTCAATGTGCAGTCAATGTAACCTACTTTAAAGTTATAAGAAAACGCGGAAATTGCTGTCCTTCAACAAAGCGAGGTTCCTATTTCAGTGTGAAATTCCTGACCAAATGAGTGTTGGATTAAGAATTCTTTTCAAGTAAGCTCTTATCAGACCCAATGGTCTAAATAACAGAGATTGGATCCTGTTGGCGAATTTTGGGAGGGGGAACAACAATTCACAGCAATTTAATATTCGTGAATAAGTTGAAAAGATTAGCTTATTTAATTACCTGGGGATTCGCACAACTCAAAGACTCGGTTATTGTGTCTTCAAGCTTACTAGTGCTTTGCTTATGAATGTTGTGTTTTTAAACCAAATATGCCTACTTAGCACCGTGCCTGCTACTTCAAAAGCTGAAACATGAACATATGCGTTGCTTTGCTTCTTTGTTCCCTACGGTAACTTCAGAAGCGATACGACCACGTTCTGCTATAGTGGACCGATGCGCACGTCGTTGGTTAACCACTTCACAAATTGCCGTTTGTTTCAGGCTCCTACCGAAGATGCTGTGCGACCACCAAGCGATGATAATGCGAAAGAAGCTGCAGCCTGGAATCCCGGATCAGCTGCCTCGGCCCTCTACTACGGTGAGTCGATTTGCATTTGCAATGCGTCGTTGATGACTCGGAGGGACGCTTTTAGTCATATCCATGGCAGGCACCTAATTGCCCCTAATCACTGATAGATCCAATATGTGCTTGAAGCACAAATCCAAATATTTAAAGCATAACACTTGCGAATACGACGGTTTTCGTCAATTCCTTTCGGGCAAATACAATTATAGGAGCGATAAAGGGGACAGGTAAGCGAACGCTGGGGATGCGATTAGTTGACTCAAGGAACTGGATCAATAATCCATCCGATACAGTCAGACGTCGTGAGTCGCACGAGCAAGTGCGAAAGCGCACATACCCAGAAAACACATGCGTTGAGCGGTAAGTCTACACTAGACATTAGCAACCATAACCACCGTCCGACATCACGGCCATGACAACGTGATAGATTGTATCAGTGTTCTCTGCTTGCACCTATCCGGCTGAAGTATTCTGATTGCAATGACTTCAGCGGTGGTGAACAAGCGCTTTCTGATTCCTTTGCGGCTGCACCTCGATGCCGTGTAGACTACTTTGAAGTGTTATGCTTCTAATGTCTGAATGGGCATAATTACTGAACTAAAGAAATTCAAAGGTGTTCGTTAAGCGCCTAGTCTTAATGAGGACCGCTTGGCTCCCTACCGATCAAGAGGATAGTTCTCATTGGAGAACTGAAACATCAAACGCATTATCGTTTAGCCGCCCTCGACTATGAGGCGCAACAAACGAAGGAGGTTTGTCAGTGAGATCAGACCCTACGGATACCTACGAGTAATGTTAAGGGACGGGTTAAAGAAAGCGTGTGTTTGTTTTACGTTTCGGTTGGATAAGTTTATAATACTTAAAATAAGTCCGGTCAACTAGCATTATATTTCGCTTAAATGATTTGAGCAGATTGTGTACTGCGTAAACGTTAAACGGCCAAATGCAGGCTGGCAGTCGTTCATCATAACTCCATCTTCAAAATTTTTTGGTTGATCTGCTGACACCAATATATCTACAGTGGTCAGCCTATTGGGTATCACACTTTAACGCAACAAGGACGGGGTTTCAAGTTAGGCTGCTGCTAGTCACTAGTGTGGTAGTAAATAACAAGCTTTTCTGGGTAGCACTTAGTCTTACCTGAAGCACTTATACAAGGCAAGTTGTACGTTTGTCTGGAGCATAGTGATTGCCAGTCTACATCGCCAACATGTAAAGACAATTTCTTTGGGGTCAGTAATTGTTCATTCCTCAACTCCGATCATCCCATGTTGATGAGTTGAACTAGTGCCGGATCCGATTGTGGAGTACAACGATGACTATGGTCAGCCAGCTGTGTACAAACTGCTAGTTATGCACCAAGGATGGTAACCACATGACGTAACTTCAAAGCAAATCATGACCCAACTTGATATTGTTTACCGCACTCCAGCTACAGTGCGTGCATTTCAAATTTGGTAAGAATGTCCCTCAAACTTTGTTTCGTTGCTTCAGTTCCTATCGAATAACCGAACGCTCGTAAGATAGCTGATTTATTATCATACGTCAGTCTAGACCCTTCATGAATTTAGTTTGTTGACCTTTCTATTCAAGAGGGCACATATTTCATCACTCCTGGGAAGTGTTCGTTCTTTGGCTTGTTCCAGCTAATTAGGCATTTATGCAAGTACTAGGTTACTTTCGACGTCACCCACTTAGAAGCGCTCATCCTGCACTTTCTGTCAAATTTGCTAGCATCTAGTGCCATTTCCTTGGCGTTGAAGTGAACTCATTGAAACTAGACATGTCTGTTGAAGTGCACTAAATCGCGTGTGAAGGGGAGACGCTCCATGTGGTGACATCAAGGGACGCATGCGTGCTGTCATCAGCGGCCGCTGTCAGAACCGTAGATGGAAGTGCCAGGTTTGGCTCCTAAGAGAATTCATTTCAAGCTTGGAATAGCTCTCTGGTAACATAAGCATTTTTCTGTGGCCTCCGTATTAGACTGGATTGTGACTACCGAACGTGCTTAGGAACGTGGTTGACTTTAAAGTGGATCTCGGCTGATTCGGTCATTACGAGCGTACTTTTACTAGAACGTTAGGCATTATCCACACAAAAAGGCAATCCACCAGGTGTTTAAAGCGGGTTTATAGCTTTAATTTTCGACTATTCCTGAACAGTCCGTTGCATCTCCTGTCCTGTGGCCTATACCATTCGTTCATAACTCGAGTACAGTTGCAAGCACAAGTGACTGGACCAAACTGGTTAACATACAGTGGAGGTCACATACAGAAGTCTGGTTCCCTAAGGTTTACTGCTGAAGGTGCAAGAACTGAAAAATGAAACGGTCAAGTAAGTGAGGTAGTCAATTTTGGTGGCTTTACTTTATGTTGTTACTGGCCTTACGTGAACAGCTGCAGCTTGTTGCTCGAACGATCATAGGTAGGTGGATCAACTCTCTGTACTTTCAGTAGAAATTGACCACATGTACTTCGTCCTCCTTCGTGATCCACCAATGTACAAAAATGATGTAAGACGGATTTCACATTATTGTTAATCAAATACGCTGCGTGTGTCTTCTCAACATTATACGACGAAACATTTTGCAGTTTATGTTCTGCAGGTGCGCTTTGCCAACCCCGACTATATCTTTGGCTTTAAATGGTATGATTAGTGAACACGGATGATCCCTACTAGACAATTGTCTTCTCTGGTAGCAAGATCAAGTGTAACTATCAGCTACTGCTCGGTGACTAGTGTTCGTACCCACAGGTAGCCAGGGATTGGCTTCGTTTAACAGACTCAACTGAACATTATATACATATTCCATGGAAGTGCCTGTGTAGGTGCAAACGTCTTATAATGGTCTTTATCATAGTGTTCCACGGGATGCCAAAATGCATCACATTTAGCATCAGTGATATAGATTCGTGACTGTTGCGACCGCTACTACAATCATCAGTATATTCTGCCTCAGGACAAAGCCAACCCAGCCCATTTACTAGGGACCAGCCATGAAACCTTTGTATCTTGCGGCAGGCCTTCATTTCCTATCTGGGAAGGTGTACATATTTAATGGTTGCTTATTCATTAGGATCATATACTGAGATGCAGCAAAAGATGTGCGAACCAAATTTATTTCGCTTATTCCGCCCTGTTTATCCTAAACACATTTAGATAATATAGTATGGGTACTAATTAAGATTATTTATGACAAGACACAAAGCAGTTATATCTATGAAAATGATACCTCCTAAATTTTTCGGGGAATTCGTGCTACCGCGTCCTCAACGTTTGCTTTGTTTGTGTCTTCGTTAGCTTACTCCATCCAGCGTATAATCTAGTGCAATTACATTAAGTGGTTGACCGCCAGATTAATTAGAAAACCAGTTTAATAACGTATGTGATTTATCACATTGTAAACGTGTCTGAAGAGAAAACCTGAGTGTTGTTGGATGGTTGCTTGGTGCAGGCTTTTCTGCACTTGTAACAAAGTCTGGTCCAGCAGGCATTTGCATACTAGAATCCACGCAGTCAAACATTTAGGGTTCCTTTTAGTGACACCAGGTTGACAACCGGCTTGATGAAGTCCCACAGTAAACCCAATCAAGCCACTTGGAGTTTTACCGTATTTTCCTAGGAGAACCTGGTTGCGACCTTGTCCGGTCAGTTCCCAAGTACCTTCGTCGGGAGCTCTCCAAGTATGAAAACGACCTGATAGTTCGTTTGGCGCATGCAGCTTAGGTGTCTGGATAAAAGTAGGTCCATCCGCAGCTGTGTACTGAACAGCTGCAAACCAATTGTGCAACGGCTGTCTATGGCACAAAAGAACCATATGTTAAAGCAAAAAGAATGAATCGATAAGTAATTCACAGAGCTTTATCGCGACCACAATTATGAGAAGTAGTTTGATCGGCGCTGCAATGGCAAGCTCACTCAGTGACCGTCAATAACACAGACCATAGAGTCGACAGCCTTAACATGACTACTAGACCAACTTTATGGACAGTTGCCTGTATACTGCTTGTTTTTGAGGTTGCGCTATAAGCCTACTAATAATATATTAGTTCTGACAGTCAAAATAGGGGACACGGTGCGATCTTATCGATTTATGCCGTACCAAGAGACATTGGATCCTTGTATTGTTTTTACAAGTTGTTAAATTAAGGAAATCCGCTCTTTTTCTTAATATAAGTTTCACCAAGGTCTGTTGTCTCGGTCACCCGAGTTGTTTATTTCGATATGGCAGAAACCGACTTGGTCTATTCCGATCTTTGTTTAAGAACACTACTGACCGTCTTCTTGGCAACACTTCTTTGATTCTAGGCAGGTGAGCTGACGATGCTTAGGAGAGACTGTAGTAGCTCATGTCAAAAGTATAATTAGTGCAGTGTATTAACCAGGTTGAATATGGACCTCAGGATTTGAATATCGGCATGCGAAAAGTCGGAACTGCAGAATTGCTTACTCTCTAAATTTGTGCATTAAACTGTCAGCTGAAAGGTTTCACTCTACATGCACTACAAACCGGCATAAGTCACCGACGTCGCAAGGGATGAGCTCTGTTCCTGGTGGGGCAGGGTTTGAAACCATCGACCAGCCCCGGCAAAACGGAACGACCGTACTCCTGGTGCTTGTACGACGAATCCTTTCCGATATTTCGGTTGAACTGAAGCAGTATTGGACACTGGGTATCAAAAACTCTAGCTGATAACAGGCATGTAGCTTCGGTGGAAATAGACAAAACGTTTCACATGGGCTGTTGTGTAAAGTCATATAAAAATTCTGTTATCCCCTTTATCAAGCATACGGTATACTACAAGTTACCACGGGGCAAGTTTACCTGCTTCCTCATATCGGAGAAAGTGATGTAAAGTGCTGTGTTCTTGTGATTTTTATAGGGTTTTCGAAGCTTCATCCTCTAAACCTATTTCTACAACTCATTTCACTCACATTCGTTCAAATAAATTACCGCTACCCAATGGCAGCAAACACAACCACCGCAATGGTTTTTTCTGCTGAGATGGCTC